TCCATGGGTTTCCGCACCCGGTCGCAGCGCACAAACACATGTGTGCAGGGGGCCAGGCCTTTCTCGACATAAAGCTCTGTCGCTGGAGTACGAGGCTGAACCGGGGAAAATAAGCGCATACATTGACGAAGACGATGCAAAAAGTTGGCAGGTGTCTCTTCGAGACCGTGTGGGGTTGGGCTGATCATCGCGCCGGGCAAACGGAGAGTTGTGCCAAACACCAGCCTCGCCGCACTGCAATCAAGGTCTGACTTTAGTGCCGAACGGATTCCGAGGAGGACAAGAGGCAGGTTGTATGAGCAGTTGCTTGGATCTTCTGCAGTTCGCAGGGCAGCCTTGAGTTGCCGATGAAATCATTCCACCATTAGCAGCGGGGTCGTAGGCTGTCTTCCGGATGCGAGTGCAACCAAGGAACTTGAGAAGGGTGTTGAAAAGTTCAGACTCGAACTGGGCACCGTGATCAGTGGTACCGGTAGATGGTGCACCGAAAGTGGCGACCCACGACTGACAAAGGCCTTGACGATGGTTTCTTCGGCCCAGCGGGTGTAAAGGCTTTTGGACGAAGACAAAAGGCCTGCGACATAAAGATGGACATGGCTGAAGCGAGCGTCGGGGCTGGGAAAAGTGCCGGGGGGGACTTATTGTGGCGTTGAATCTTACTCCGCCGGCAAATCGGGCAGGACGTCCTTGTTCATGCCAGGCCAGACGAAACTTTCCGCGAGGAGCTTTTGTGAGGCTCGAATCCCTGGTTGAGAGAGTTCATGAAGAGTTTGGAACACAGCTCTACGCATCAAGGGCGGCACGAAGGGGCGATGAAAAGGAGTCGACACAAACGATGGTGCCAGCTCCGGTGGTGAGGGGAAAGTCCGCAAGCTGGAGACCAGTGACAGCTTCGTCGCCAGGACAGCCATCTCGTTTTTGCTCCACCGCCATAGCATCAAGGTCGATCCCCTGTGAGAATTGAAGGGCAGATAGGGAAGGTCGAGAAAGAAGGTCAGCCACCTCATTCTTCGTGCCATCAATATGGCGGATGTCGGTGATGAATTGAGAAATTAGTCCAAGTGGCCAATCTCTCTGAGGTTGTACTTATCGGAGAGGGACCGAAGAGCAAAGGTAAGCGGCTTGTTTACCGTGAAGATAGTGAAGTCCCGACCCACGAGATAGTGTCGGTAATGATTGAAAGTGGTCACATCAGAAGTTGAGAATTGGTCTCCTGTCGCGGATCATCAATGTAAGATATGAAGTGTAGTAATTAATAGCTGGTAAATGAAATTGAAGGCGCAGTGAAAAAAATCGGGTAACCTCTATGAGATAGAGAAGCGTCGGAGTCAACGATGTAGGACACGAAGTAGTCCGGCCAGATAATAGAAGATAGAACTATCCCAATGACTATAAACTAGTAAATAACATAAGGTGTGGAAGGCCAGATTGTTATTGATAATTTAATTAAATGGAGAAGGAGTAGAATGTGAGTAATAGGTAATTGAGTCCCGGACAAGTGCAGTCCAGCCATGAGCTGGCCGAATCCAGAGTCACATTCCGGCGGATGTAGTCAGAGGGTCCGAATGCCTGCAACCAGAAGTGAGGTCGCTGGTTCCGGGAATGTCTGAGCATAAGCAGTCACCACACTAAGGTCCTATGTGAATCGGCCTTGGAACGTAACTGGCAAGTTAAGACAGAGGGTGACCTTGACCAGAGATTTGACACCCTTTGGTACGCACGCGCTGGTGGACACGAGAGCCAGACATGTGGCCTGCCCTTGCGGCGTGCGAGGAAAGCATGACTTGGAATACGAGGTCGCTACAATAATATAGACCCCTGGGGAACTCCACAGTTGTTGGAACGACCGTGGATTTTTACTTGCCGCACTGAACGAATTGAGTGCGGGAAGGGAAATAGTCGCCAAGCCAAGAGACAGTCCTGCCGCGAGAGCCGCATGCAGAAGTTTTATTAAGAAGGAGGTGGTGCGGCATCGTATAAAAGGCTCAGGCGTAGTCAAGAAAAGTATATGCGTATACATGGCAACCCTTATCTAAATCTCTTAGAGCAGAATGGACTACCAGAGCAACAGCGTCTAGTGTACTACGTCTAGCCTTATATGCAAATTGCAGGGTACCGGGGTATAACGGCGTAATTATGTCCAAGGCAACTCGTTCTGCATGTTTCAGTAGTGCAGAAGAGCAGGCAATTGGACGAAAGGATTTGGGACCAGAAGTAGAGTTTTTTTGGGTGGGAGTGATTCTCACTGAAGGCTTTAATCCGTGCAGATTCCGTCAAAAAATCGGGGATTAGCCAGAGAGATTGGATGCGGCAAGTTAACAATAGCCCGACATCTTTAATCTATTGAAAAGTTCCAAATGCTTGGTTCTTGGGACAACAGGATTCAAGGTGTAAATGGCCATGCCTCATCTCTGGCCCGACGTCCATCAACAACGTAACCCATACTTGAAGCTAATTAGTATTATTATTAGCGATAAAAAATGCTGCTTATGTGGGAATACGAAATAGAGGAAATAAAGGCTAAGCCCCGACAAGCAAGCAACACACCAAAGTAAACCTGGCCTTCATCTTCGCAAAACGATGCTTTTTGTCTGGTGGGAATATGAAGGACTTTATGCCTTATGAATTGCTTGAAAGGAAACAGACAATTGATGCAGAACCATACAGTCAGTAGCTTTGCTGTTTTTCTTTCAATTCAAGAAAAGCACACCAAAATAGTCTAAAGTGTGCCATTTTGCAGCATGACAACGCCAGGTCCCACGTCGCAGCATACACCAAAATGTTAGTAAAATAACTGGGTTACAGAGCTTTTTCATATCTGTCATATTCTCCAGACCTTGTTCCATCGGACTACCCGCTTTTTCAGTCACTCGAGACAAATTTAACCGAAATATCTCTCAGTAAGGATGTGGATATTCTAAATTGCACCAATGAGTTCTTGGTGTCCAAATCTGCGAATTGTTTCAAACGCAGAATCGAAGCACGGCCTCAAGGTTGTAAGCAGATTGTGAGTAAAGAGAAAGAACACATAATTCATTAATTCTGTGAAAATAAACTAATAATATACATAATAACGGGCTTAAATTTCGAATACATGAAGACAGTGCAGCGTTATGTGGCAGTACCGTACACGATAAACGAAAACAGTAACTGTTTCAGGATTATTCATGGCACTATGCAAAGTACTATGCCACTAGACGACACTTGCTCCTATATGCCGCCGAGTCTATTAGTCGACCCCCGGCGATTAATTGTCCTATCTGTCGTCCATAAATGGTCCAAGGGATTCCGCACGTGCGTCAGTGATACCCTCTTTCGTCAACCGCTACTGCCTTGACCGAGACGGCCATTTTAGCCGTTTACCCCCGCAATGCCCTCAATTCTGTAAGGACACTGAATCTAACAGATCGTACTTGCGGAATGCGATACAGGTATTTTCCCCAGCGCCCAATTTTCCCGCTTGTTTTTTGCGACACGATGTTCTAGCTTGTAAGCCGATGAGGCATTAACAGTACATACTTGTAGTTCTGTTAGATTGCGCAAACTCGTTGACCACTTAGCAAGAGTCTCAATGTATCAATGGGCTAGCTAAGCCGTAGAGGCGGAATAATTGATCTTATGGACTTTAGTCGAGGCTTGCCGTGTTTCATAATACTGAGCAGCCGTGAAGAATGCCACTTCGATGTTTGCATTTTTCATTTAGCGTGGCACACTTGTTTTTTCATATGACACACGTTAGGAGAATTTGCACTGTGCCTAGCTGCGCAAACAAACACTTTGAAATCGTTACGGGCATGATTGCGTAATCAAATACCTCCATGTAGGTGACATTCCC